TAGAAATTACATGAAACATGATCAGTACATGCCTATTTCCAATTGCTACTTTCTTATTTTATCCAAATCTTTATCTTTGACCTAATGAGGCAAAGTACAATTAATTGAATTTCTATATTCCTAATTCATCCGAGTACGTAGTAGTAGTAATATATATACAAACACACGTTGTAATAATATATATAAAAGTCCAAATCAAAGATAATGCAATGACTTTGGGTGGGTAATCCCTTTGTAAGTGAATCCGCTATCATAAAGTTTGTTCCAATAAATATGTGGTCACTTTGTACTCTTTTCTTCACAACTAGAAACTTTACGTCTATATATTTAGACTTAGAAGCTGATTGAATTTCTACTGTTATTGGAATATAGCACGGTTGACTTATCGTCACAATAAATGTTGAGTGGTCTTTTAACACCCTCTAAAATCCATAGCCCCATGACAAATTTTGTAGCCATATTCCACGATTTCATGACTCATAACAAGCTACAGATTTTGCCATCATCATGGACGAAGTTATGAGTGTTTATTTGACAACTCCTCCAAGATATAGCTCCAACGACCAACGATAAATATAGCCTGACACAGATCTCCTACTATTTTGACATCCAACATAATCTTTTGTTTTGTCCCTTGCAAATATCTCATAACCCGTTTTGGTGGTTTCCATTGATCCATACCATGGTTATTCAAGTATTTGTCCAACATCTCAACAATGTACACAATATACAGACACATATATACTTGAGAACGATCCCGATATATTTGAATTCTTAGTAATACACAAATAACTTTCTATTAAGTAATAACACCATAAATACAACAACCAAACCGAACATAACTCAAGTAGTTTAGGTACATATCTCTTACCAAAAAGTTATGAATTCGAACCCTCACTCCTACATGTTGTACTCAAAATTTTCGATTTCTCGAATTTTTAGTATTACTTCTTTCACTCCAAATCTTTTACCTCTATCTAACATAACACTCTTTTTTATCTCTCTAAATTTTAATATTTTCTCAAACTTTTTTTCTTTTAAATTTTACCTTTGTAACTTCTATTTCTCTTTCTAATCCTTTTTTTTAAAAGTAAATATGGCTCAAACTTTTTGCTATCTTAAATTTTTGGGTGATTGTAGTTGGTAGCAAAAATATTTTATGTATTTGAAAAATGTCACCAGCATTTCAAAATTTCAAATATAGCAAAATATTTGAATTTTTATTATTCCAATTTTACCCTTATGATATATGATATATATCTATATCTGATATACATCCAATATATATTTATATCTGATATACATTCAATTTATATCTGATGTATATCATACATGAAATCTATATCTAATGTACATCCGATGTAACTCTGATATACTTCCGATATACATTCGATGTATCCCTAATATATGGTATCAGATGTACCATGATATACATTATCAGATATACCACTGATATACATCAAATGTACGTATTATACCACTGATATATATATATATGATGTACTCCTAATTTTTGATATACTAAATATATTTCCAACTGATATGCTATTTGCAACTGATATACTAAATATAAGGTATATCAAATGTTTGACTTTTATTGGTATATCAGCTGTTTAAATTATAGATTATCATTTCAATTTGTTGATTAATATACTAATATTATCAATAATGTTGATTACTATATCACTACTATTTATTCAATATTAATATTAATTAGATACTAAATATAAGGGATATCAACTGTTAAATTTATAAAGTATATCAAAATTTTAACTTATCTTTTTGGACGTTCATGGTCCACATAAACCTTTTATATAATAACTTTATATTTCAAAAATAAAAAATAAAAAATCTTGCACCATTGTTTTCATATGAAAAAAATATTGGATATAATAGTATGATATCAACACACATATATATAGTTATATTAATAGATATAATGATTATACAAGAGGTATATAAGTGGTAAATTAGAAGCATATTAAGTATATATCAGTGTTATATTAGTGGTAAATCATAAAAGAAGTTATATCAGTAGATACCATAATTATATCAGTGGTATATCATTTGTATATCAATAGTAGATTAGAGACATATCAAATATATATGTATTGTATCAACGTGGTAATCAATGGTTATCATATGTATATCAGTGGTAAGACATGTTAGAAKTTGAATAGATATCATGGTTATACCAGAAGTAAATCAATTGTATATCATATCATGTTTAAAAAGTTTGTTTTTGTCTTTCTAAACTTTTACTTTTATGTCTCTACATTAGGGAGGACAAAAATCCTCCCAAGATTGGTACTCGCTCAAAGAATAGGAAGTGCATTTCCCACCATGATCCACTCCTTGATTCCATTTTTTTTTAAATGAATATATATGTTATTAACTATTTTACTAAACTAATGATAAAATATTAAATAGTTTTTAAAACTAATTATTTATACTAGTAACAATAATTTTTATATATTTAGTAGACTTTTTTTTTTCTTTTTTTTTTGAATTTTATAAATAATTACAATAATTACTAAACCAATATTTGTTCTCGTGAAGATCTTCATCTCGGATTCCTCGACCTGGATCTCGATTTACGAAATCAAAGAATGAGGCGGGTATGAGGAATAAAATTTCTAGAAGGAAGAGGATGGGAGGGCGTGCCCGACTACCCCCGTCTCGTTGTATAGATAGCATATCTCTTGATTCTCTACTTTACATAGATTTTTCCTCCCTCTCTAGCATATCTCTTGATTCTCTAACTTTTTAAAAACATCAAAGCAAAAATGGTTATCAAACATGGTTGTTTTTGTTATCGAAAAACTAAAAACAAAAAACCAGTTATTAAACATATCGTTTTTGTTTTTTAAAAACTAAAAACTTAAAACTTAAAACAAAAAAACAGAAAACAAAAGGTAGGAAACCAAAAGCCCAAAAATAAAAATCGTTATAAAATGGGTCCTAATATTTCATAGTATTTATATTCTTTTGTCTAAAAAAATTATAGTTCTTTTAATAGTAATATTTTATTTCTGGAGATAAAATGAAAAAGTAACATTTATTTTAAATAAAAAAATAACATTTATTTAAATTGAATTAAAATGAAAAAAGAATTGCAATATAACATTCTATTGGCTTGAAAAATATTGGTGTTTTTAATGGGTAATATTGCTTTAAAAAAAAGTGGTAGAAGACATGTCTTAAAGAGACGATATAGATGTTTTTATAAAAAAAAGCAACATGGCTACATGTTATTCTCTAAGAGACGACATACAACGCCACATATATATTGTCCGTCGTCTCTCACTAGTTAAAGTAGAGTATGTTGTATTTGGAGAAATCTATGAAGTATTATTTTTGGAATAAGTTTGGATTTGAAAATATTTTAAAATAAGTTTGAGAAATAGTAACTGGTTTGTTATTTTTTGTCTTATGTTTCCATTTTTCAAAATTTTCAAAATATAAATAAAAAGATGGTTTGTTTTCTGCATAAAAAATATATATATTTTTTAAAATTAAATAGAAAGTAATAATTTTGGATATTTTAGTTTTTTTTAATTTACATTTCAATAACTTTTTTTTTAAATTTAAAAATTGAGATAGAAAAAACGAAGAGAAATGAAACTACAAACATTTTTCCATTTCTTTTATTCAATAAAAAATGAAAAAAAAAATCACCGAGCACATTTTTTATTTAAAATAAATAAGAAATGAAAAAGGAAAAACTACCAAAAAAAACAAACAAAAAACAAAAAACTCAATCAAGCAAGAGTTAATGAGCCCGAAAAACTATATTTTAACCATGCATAGATGTGATTAAAACAACGCATTGAATAAATTGATTCGTTATTCAATTTCCTACAATAGTGTGTATATAGTGATCTATTAAAAGAAAACATATATAAAATTTTATATGCATGGCACCTTCACATCTCATAATCAACTTTTTATAGATAATTTTATATGCATGGCTTTCACACCGACCTTGTGTATCTAAAGTTCATGTCAATTTGCCCACTTTTCAGATAAAGCAACTAAAACAAATGATGCCCAACTTCTTAGCTTCGTGTATGGATACTACTCACAAATCACAATATATCAATATTCTATTTAAAGAAAATAATATTTTTTTACAAGACAGCTACTTAGGCTTATTTCTGAAAATCACACCTTGGATTGCAAAATATTATATGTACCTTAAAAATTACAAGTGCTTTATTTAAAAAAAATGTCACAAAGGCTTTCTTTTCTTCTCGATCCGTCTTACGTGATGATTCATATTATTTTGTTATTAGTTTATTTACCTTGTATTTTTTTTAGTACAACATGTGCAGGGATTCAAACGCGACTTTTTAGTATAAGTGTCTTAACCAGTTGAACGTTCAGGCTAATTTATTTATGTTGTATTTAATAAATAAGTTACATGTAACAAATGTTGTGTTTGGAAGTGACGGTAAAATTAATGATTTTTAAAAAGTAGATTTAAATATAATTGATTTTCCAAAATTATCATCCAGCGATACTTTAAAAATCAATTTAAAATAATTTTAAACTTTCCTAAAGTCAAATTTTTAATTTGCTGATGGATGAAAATGTAATTGATTTTGATAATCAAAATCACTCTTAAATACACCGGATCAGTCACACTAAAATTAAATCATATTCACAGCGAGTATAGGAGTTTTGTTGAGGAAAAGTTGGTGAATCCAATTAGCTACAACTCATTTAGTTTATGGGAATTTACTTTACGTATATACGAAGCTCTCTTTATTTTTGTTTCTTGTTTTTTTATTTTTATTTTTAATTTTTCGATGGTCACTCACCACCCACTTTCACTTTCACTTTCGCCCCCTGAATCTCTCATGTGCTGCGAACAAAAGCAGCTGCTTCCTTTTTTGCAAATTTTCCTTTTTCTCCATTAAGTTTCCTTTTAGCTTTTTCTATATATAAATATTACACACTAATGCAATTCCCTCATGCCACTCACTACTCCTCACAAAATGAAGAACAAGGCCTCTAATTTGCTGAAGAAAATCACGTCCGTTTTCAGTGTCATAGCCAAGGCCAAATCCATGGCCGTCAACTCCAAATTCAGCCCCACCAAAGCCCGCCTCCTCGTGCTCTCCATGCTCAAGACCAAGAAACTTGTCATGGATTCCCTCTCCAACAAAATCCACACCGTTCTCGGCCAGCACGACCGCAATAACAACGACGACGACCGTAACAAGGCCATTGTCCTCTACGACCATAACCAGTACCGGGCGAGCCGGGGCGTGGTGATGGTGGCCGAGGGCGAGGAGGAGGACAAGTATCCGGATTTGACACACTCGCTGTTCGACGAAGAAGATGATTACGACATCGACGATGCGAAGCTGCAGGCGGCGGGCGGTTCGATCATCGACATGATGAGGAACTCCAAGGAAGGGGAGGAGTTCAAGCTGGAGGAAGAGATTGATGAGGCTGCAGACTTGTTTATAAAGAGGTTCCGCAAGCAAATACGCTTGCAAAAGCTTGAATCTTTCAAGAGACTTCAAGAGATGCTGGCCAGAGGGACTTGAATCTTTCATTATATTAATTCATATTATATATTATATAATTATATTAACCTAATCTCGTCCCTATTAATGGGTTAAGTTACAAATTTTGTTCCTATAGTTTAGATATGGTTTCAATTTTGGTCGGTAAGTTTTAAAAATTTCCAATTTAGTCTATGTGATTTGAGCTTATTTTCAATTTGGTTTCATATAATTTGAATTTAGTTCCAATTTAGTCCGATCATTTTAAAAGTTCAATTTGAGTGGTATGGTTTAGTTAAACTTCAAAAAAGTTTTTGCCTTTATCAAATTGAGAATTTTTTTCTGTTCATTAGTTGATATTTTCTATTTAACTAATTTATATTAGTTTAATGTACTACAAGTAGTTGGGTAAAGACTATATTCTTAGATCGATTTTTTGGTCGGTAAAACACAATTTAGAAACAATTTATGAGATTTGACTAAATACTAGGACAAAATTGAAACTAAACCAAAATCATACCCATCAAATTAAAAATTTTAAAACTATAGAGATAAAACTAAATTAAAACTATATCCAAGCGGATAATTTAACCTTATTAATTTTTGTTATTTTATTTTAAAAACGATTAGGCGATAAGTAGTTGCAAGCTAATTGGCAAACTATAACAAAATGTTTTTTTAGTTCGACATGTGGGGGATCGAATTCATAACCTCTTAGTTCGAGATATATATCAATTAGCACTGAGCAATGCCTCCTTTGGCAAACTATCACTATAACAAATCTGGTTTTTAATGACGGTCAAAATAAAAACACGGAGGAATCAATGACGGACAGGGAAAAAAAGGCGTTTAAATTTAAAAGAAAAAATAAACAAGGACACTCGTATTGATGACGGTCACCTGACCGTCATTGTTATCTTTTAGTGACGGGAAATACCCGTCATGAAAATCCGAATTTGTTGTAGTGTATAAAAAATGTTGGAATGGATGGAATTGAAAGCCTGAAACCATATATAAAAATCAGAATTACTGTCATTTCGGAGAGCAGGCTCTTGTTTTTACTGCCTTTATTCTCTATTCTCAAGACTATAACCCTTTTGTTTTCTAATTTTTGTTTTTTAAAGTTGAGTTTATTTGATAGTAATTTTCTTTAGATGTATATAATTAAAGGCCCAACTGCACTGTAACATAATGCTGGTTAATTAAATAGTCTACGCTATATAAAATAATAAGTTAAAAAAAAGAAGTAATTGTGATTAAGTTGGCCAATTAGGGCCTGCAGGCGGAGGCTGAAAAGCTCCGATGGGCTGAGGCTGCCATGGCCGCCAAGCTGAAGGATGAAGACTTTTTGGATGTCAAATTCCATGAGTAGTTGGGCTACACAGCAAGGCGCTGGCTGACAATGGCTTCAAGTTCGCCGTCGCGTACTTTGAAAAGAACCACTGCGAGCTAGATCTCCTCTGCCTCAAACGTGCCTACGTTAAGTCGTGGACGATCTCTCCAGATGGCACTGTGACCCCTGAAGAAGTCATACAGGCCGGGGTGAAGAAGTTGGACGAGCTCGTCTTGGTGGCCCCCTTGGACAATGATCCTTTGGCCGAGGTGGCTCAGTCCGACCTCCTGGACAAGGGACCCCACTACTTCTTCCTTGTTCTTCCTGCTGTCGCTTTTTCTTTTTTTTTTCCTATGTTTTCTATGTTTTAAGGTTCGAGGCCTTCTCCTCGGTGAATTTTTAATGAATCTTTGGTGCATTTATCCTTCACTTTGTGTTGCTCTTCTCTCTCTTTCCTTGTTTGACTTTGTACGTCCTATCTAGCTCGTACTTTCGCACTTAGCAAGCATTGTCGCTTTGATACTTAAATAACAAAACGTTCTAGGCCCCCATTTAAATGTTGCTTGTTTTAGCTATAAAAGAGTTGCATTTAAATTTCTTGTAATTACGTAATGCGCTTGAACAACTCGCTAGGCTATACTTAGCGGCAGTAAATGCGTAGATGTTACGTGTTCCATGGGTGAGGGAGCTGCTTCCCTTCGAGGCTGCTCAAGGTATACGTTCCAGGTCGCTTCTCGCCCTTCACCTGATACGAGCCCTCCCAGGTTGGCTATAGAGCTCCCCCTTTTTGGAGGACTTTGGGTAGTACGAGGTCGCTAGGTCGGAAGCAACGCGGCTTGACCCTTGCGTCGTAATGTCACTTCATTCGTCTCTGATACTCAACTAGTTTGAGCTGTGAGGTATCCCTTCTTTCTTCTAAGAGATCAAGATTCAAGCGAAGCTCTTCGTCGT